CCAGGACTCACCAGCTTCAGAGGCCCTGGGGCTTCGGGGGGATTGTGCAGAGCCCCCCCACATGGTGTGGGGCAGTGCAGGGCAGTGGAGATCGCCCCCTGCCAGGGAAGGAACCAGTGAGTCCAGGGTTCTGGGGTTTTTTTCCTTGAAGGGCCGGAACAGGGGAGGACAGGGCAGCCATGGGCGGGGGGAATGTAGGAGCAGGGGGGGATTGGGGGGCTTGTGCAGACCCCCCTAAACAGTGTGGGGCAGTGGGGAGCAATGAGGATTGCCCCCCTGCCCAGCACCACCTGGTGACTTGGGACTTTTTTTTTTTTCCAAAGTGTGGGGAGCTGGGGTGGGTGGGAGCAGCCATTGCCAGGGCTGGGAGAGCGGGTGGGGGATGGGCCTGGGTGATTCGAAGATTTGGCAGTAGCCGAATCTCCGAATCAGATTCAGCCAAATTGATTTGGAACAGTGATTCGAATCACCAAATCAAATCACTGTCCCCTGAAATCGGCCGAATCCAAAGTGAACACTAGCTGCTTCGCACAGGCCTTATATTCTGTGGACCCCCAAGGATCTGCAGACCACAGGTTGAAAAACACTGCCTCAATGGATATGCAGTTTTGTTGACTGGTTTTGTTTACTATATACACATACTCATGACAAGCTCTAGATATATTTTAAAATTGAAATCAATAAAATGGAATTTCATTTTTTGTTAGAGCAAAGGTGGGCTTTATCATACAATACCAGAAAGAGGTAATTGCTCAGAAGTGTGGAGTTAAGTGTCCTTGTCTTCATTCAAAATTAGCAAGTTGAACAGAATTGTGGCCTTTTCTCCCAAGCACATAAATGTTTTCATATTGTAGTTATGCATATTTGAATAGTATCTATAGTGTCAGATTTAGCCCCTTTTTCACTCATGCTGCTTATTAGACAAACAAGTACAGTATTCAACCAAAAAATGATTATTTGATGACTGACCCATTGTAGATACATCTAAGATCACTCATCTTAATCAGCTCATATCGAAACAATATTCTTCATTTTACAGAAACAAGCAAATGATCTTGTTGGCACCCTGATGAAATGCACACCTCACTACATACGCTGCATCAAGCCCAATGAGACAAAGAAACCTCGGGACTGGGAGGAGAGCAGGTATGTGTAAGCAAAGGAAGTAGCGGAGCAGAGTCAAAGCAGCAGTCCAAACAAGTCTTCCTCCTAGCCACAGAAATAGAAAAATTGTAAATCACATGATAGAGGGACAGAATCAGACACCCTCAAGATAACTCGTTAGAGAGGCTTTCAGAAAGCCTTCAGAAAGGAAGCCTACTATACAGGCGACCCTTGCCATTCGCGTGGGGTATGTTCTTGTATCCCAGGGGTGGGGAAAATGCGGCCTGCTGGCCAGATGCAGCCTGCCAGGCCATTTTATCTGGTCCACGGGGCC